CCCCAAAACCCCAAAACCCCAAAACCCCAAAACCCCAAAACCCCTTATTTAAAGAAAAAGATTGTTAGGAAGATTTAAGAAATTAAAGATGCTTGGCAAAACCTTTATGCAGAAAACCACCCGTTCCTTTGGATCCAGAGCGGTTCCTAAACAAACCCAATTGTTTATTGATGGACAATGGTGCAATTCAGTTAAAGGAGGGACTTTCGAGACTATTGATCCTTTCACAGAGGAGCCAATTACTCAAGTCCAGAGAGCATCTAGAGAGGACGTCGACAAGGCCGTGTTGGCAGCAAGGATTGCTTTTGATCACGGACCTTGGAGGAGAATGAGTGCTACTGATAGAGGAAATCTTCTATACAGACTAGGCGAGTTGGTTGAGAAAAATGCTGAAGAGTTAGCTTATCTTGAAGCTTTAGACAATGGAAAGCCAGTGAGCGTAGCCAAGGCTGCCGATCTTCCATTGACTTGGAATACCTATAAATACTATGGAGGATGGGCGAACAAGATCACTGGTGATACTATCCCAGCTCCAGGAAACTTCCATGCTTATACTAGGAGAGAACCTGTTGGAGTCGCTGCCCAAATTATCCCATGGAATTTCCCATTGCTCATGCAAGCATGGAAACTAGGACCAGCTCTTGCTGCCGGATGCACAGTTGTCATGAAGACTGCCGAGCAAACTCCACTATCTGCTTTGAAGATTGCTGAACTTATTAAGGAAGCTGGATTCCCAGATGGAGTTGTCAATATCCTTTCAGGATTTGGGGAAGATGCAGGAGCATATCTATCCACTCACTCAGATGTGGATAAGGTTGCATTCACAGGATCCACTGCTGTAGGACTCCAGATCATGAGAAATAGCTCTCTCGGAGGTCTCAAGAGAGTTACCCTTGAATTAGGAGGAAAGAGCGCCAACATCATCTGCGAAGATGCTGATGTTGACATGGCTGTTCAACAATCTCACCTCGGTCTCTTCTTCAATCAAGGTCAATGCTGCATTGCTGGATCTAGACTTTTTGTTCATGATAAGATCTATGATGAATTCGCCGAAAAATCTGCTAAGTTTGCTAGTGAAGCTAAGCTAGGAGACTCCCAAGATGCCGCTACTACTCAAGGGCCACAAGTATCCAAGGAGCAACAGGATACCGTCTGGGGATACATTGAGAAAGGAAAGAAAGAAGGAGCCACTCTCTTAGCAGGAGGAGAGAAATACGATGGCAAAGGTTACTTTGTAAAACCAACTGTCTTTGCTGACGTTCAAGACGATATGACCATCGCTAAGGAAGAAATCTTCGGTCCAGTCATGCAGATCATGAAATTCTCTGACTACGACGATGTTATTGATAGAGCTAATAGATCTGAATATGGACTAGGAGCTGGAGTTGTTACTAAGGATATTGGAAGAGCATTCCATCTCACCAATGGACTCAGAGCTGGAACTGTTTATGTTAACTGTTACGACGTTTTCGACCCAACTCTTCCATTCGGTGGATACAAGAACTCTGGTATCGGAAGAGAGAATGGACCACAAGGATTAGATAATTATTTGGAAACAAAGACTGTGATAATGAGTAGACCAGATGGATCTCTTCCATAATAAGATTATTTGAATATAATTATCTACTGACAAACCAATCGAACTCATAGAGCATGGGGTTTTGGGGTTTTGGGGTTTTGGGGTTTTGGGGTTTTGGGG